CAACAGTTTTGACATGCCCCAGCCCGAGCTCTATTCGTACACATCTCTCTACCTCCACCATCTCCTATCCCTGTAGCTGCAGATATACGCTTGGTGCTGTTGATCAACACCTGGGGCGCTATCACGTCGAATGCATGGGTTCTCAACATAATCACCCACAGATACAGCATGGAGTTCTCCACTCTGCCACTTACAAAGGATATCAGATGCACTCCACCTTCCCTTGTCCTTCAGGATGAAATCTGCACCTTACTCAGGAAAGGAGCCATATCAAGAGTTCCTCCTCATTGCATCACGTATGGCTCCTTTTCTCAGTATTTTACCATGCCCAAAAAGGATGGTGGGCTGCATCCTCTCAGACCTCCGCATTGTCAACACATTTCCAGATGGTCACACTACAGTCTATTTTCTCTCTGCTCCAATGAGGAGATCAGTTCACATCCATAGATCTTCGTGATTCATACTTCCATGTATCAGTCCATCTAAGACATTGTCAGTTCCTCAGCTTCTTTGTTGACCACCACACCTATCAATTCCACGCACTTCCCATAGGACTTTCAACAGCTCCAAGGGTCTTTACAAAGTGTGTGGTGCCAGTGGCTGCCTTTCTCAGAACTCAGGGCATCACCGTATTGTCTTACATCAGTGATTGGCTCCTGGTGGCATACGATCAAAGAACTCTGCAAGCCAACACCAGTTTTCGCCTATGACTGTTATCAAGTCTGGCACTACAAGTGAACATTTCAAAATCTCACTTCATCCCATCTCAGTCTATCCACTACATTGGGGCACTTCTTGATACCACGTGTACACAAGCTTTCCTCCCTTGACCATGAGTGCATACTATTATAGACTCTGTCCAAATACTTACTTGGACTCAACGCATATCAGTCCATTCAGTTCAATGAGTATTGGGAGTCATGGTATTCACCATGGCCGTTCTGCCCCACTCCAGGCTCAGGATGTGTCCACTCCAATTTTCCATCTACTCGCCTACAACAGCAGACTGGATCCACCCAACAAGGCTGCCTCTTTCACAACTACTCTAATGCCAACTTCTCTGGTGGTCATTTGAGTGCCACCTCCAACTGGGAGTTGCTTTCCACCAGCCACATCCCTCCTGTCTCTTAGTCACAGATGTGAGCATGACGGGATGGGGAGCACACTGCTGCCACGGAATGGTACAGGCACAATGGTCAGCACACAAGAGAACCCATCACATCAAATTTCTCAAACTTCTAGCCATTTTCAAAGCCCCCTGGGTGTTCAGAAACATGATCCAAGGCAGCACTGTCCAAATTGCCACGGACAGTATTATAGCAATGTATTACCTAAACAGGGCAGCACCAAGTCTCTGAGCCACCTCTAGCTGTCAGGTCTTATCTGGGAGTGGTGCATCACTCATTGCCTTCTGTGCATTTATTTATTTATTTATTTTATTTATTGGACTTATATACCGCCCCATAGCGCTACAAGCGCTCTCCGGGCGGTGTACAATTTAATTATACAGGCTACACATTGCCCCCCCAGCAAGCTGGGTACTCATTTTACCGACCTCGGAAGGATGGAAGGCTGAGTCAACCTTGAGCTGGCTACCTGGGATTTGAACCCCAGGTTGTGAGCATAGTTTTAGCTGCAGTACAGCGTTTTAACCACTGCGCCACGAGGCTCATTTTATCCTCCTTTCCTCTTATCCAGCAGATGGTTGTGAAAATCTTGCACAACCGTTCCAATGTGATCCACTCACCCCTTAGTTGGCTGCACCAGCGGTGGTTGGTGATCCTCCTCACTGCAACAAACAGGAGGAGGCTGCCTCTTCACCCCAACCTTCTCTCTCAACATCACGGCATGGACCTTCATCCCAACATCACTCAGCTGAAGCACACTACTTGGAAGATATTCCCCTCCTTGCCAGCATCCTAGAACAAGCAAGATGGCCCTGCTCTAATTGACTCTTCCAGTATAAGTGGAGGAAATTCCAACTTTACACATCCTCTCAGAATCTGTCAGACTCTCCAACCTTTCTTTCTACCATTTTAGCCTTCCTACTATACCTTAAGCACCAGGAACTCTCCAATTTCTCTATCAAGATCTGTCTCACAGCCAGGCCACTCATCTTCCCAGTTCTTCAAACATCCAACTTTAAGAAAGTTTCTGAAAGGCCTCCAGAATGCATATGCGAACGTGCAGCCCTTGCATGATCCCTGGTCTCTTTCCTTGGTTCTTTCTCAGCTTACCAAGCACCCCTTTGAGCCCCTGGCAATGGCAAACTTTTGTCTACTAACTGTCAAGGTAGTGCTTCTGCCTGCCGGGCTGCCAAACTGATTGCCTTATGCTGAAATCTTCCATACATCATCTCTTCCCAAGATAAAGTAACCCTCCACATGGACATTAAAAGGTAAAGGTTCCCCTTGACAATTTTTGTCCAGTCGTGTTCTACTCTAGGGGGCGGTGATCATCCCGGTTTCCAAGCCATAGAGCCAGCGTTTTGTCCGAAGACAATCTTCCGTGGTCACATGGCCAGTGTGACTTAGACACAGAACGCTGTTACCTTCCCACCTAGGTGGTCCCTATGTATCTACTTGCATTTGCATGCTTTCGAACTGCTAGATTGGCGAGGAGCTGGGACAAATGACGGGCACTCACTCCGCCGCGTGGATTCAATCTTACAACTGCTGGTATTCTGACCCTGCAGCACAGGCTTCTGCGGTTTAGCCCACACTTTCCTACTTAAGGCGGCTTACCGTTTCTACGTATCACAACCTCTTATTTTACCTACCTTCACCAGAGGACTTGGAAATATCATTTCACTCCTTGGGACATCAAGAGGGCTTGGCTTTCTACCTAGACAGGATGAAAGACTTCAGACACACTACCAGGCTTTTTGTCTGCTACCAATCTCCTCTCAACACTTCTCTAAATGGATCTCTCAAGCCATTTCTCTGACTTAGGAAGTAACAAATAAACCTCTGTCTCCAGCTGTCCTCCACTGTGTTTCTAAGTGGTGTAGATATACAAGAAATCTGCTGAGTGGCGACATGATCTAGACCATCAAGATTTGTCACCTATTACAGATTGGACATCAAAGCCCAGAAAGATGCTGCTTTTGGACGGGCTGTTCTATCTTCTGTTCTGGCGTAATTCCCATCTCCAAACTTTAGCTTGCAAGTCATCCTTTCTTGTGTGCATACATGGACACCATGAAGAATACGACTTGGTTATTCGCTGTAACTATGGATCACCACTTGAAGAACCATAGTTACAGTGAGTAACCAAGTCTTTTAAACTGTAAATATTGTCTTTGGATTATGAATGTTGCTGTGGGTCCTCTTTAAGGAGAAAGGAAGGGTAAAATATTTTAAATAAATAAATAGTCATAACATTTTCAAAAGGAAGTGTTCTCTCTGCTTAAAAAAGTAATAATAAGAATATGATAGCAGAAGGACTAAAGCATAACGTCATGAGGGTTTGGTTTTCCACAGAATCCCATGAAAGTCAGATGATATTTTTATGTTGCATGTTTAAAAATCTCTTTCTGTGCATGGAAGGAGAGGAATAAAATAAAGACTGTTCTTGTAAATAACCAATTCTAATTTGCCATTTCGCACATCTAGGTTCAGTTAGAGCCTTTGTGGTCTGTAGACTCTACATAACAGATGGGTCCAGTGATAAAAGCGGTCAAGACCTTTCCAATCTAGTCGTTTTCTAATGCATCTCGGAAACTTACTAGGATTTCTCAGTTGGTGACAGTACCCAAGATGGGTAATAATAACCACATTTTTTCTTCCAAATGCAGCTTATTTAGTACTGCCTAAAATACAGGTGCTGGAAATTGTTGACCATGTATATTAAGTTTATGCAAACCAGTAGTTACAACCGGCAGGCCTGCCCAGTATCCTGTATTATCACAGCACCCTGAATTTATTGTGTACCTTAAACCACTGGTTCTTAACCTTGGGTTACTTAGGAGTTTTGGACTGCAACTCCCAGAAGCCTTCACCACCAACTGTGCTGGCTGGGGTTTCTGGGAGTTGCAGTTCAAAAACATCCAAGTAACAAAGGTTAAGAACCACTGCCTTAAACCACTTCCCCATGTCTTCTGTTGCATAGCAGGCTTCAGAGGCAATTCCTGACAAACCAGTGAATATGGTGGAACTAGGGTTCCTCGACGTAGCTCCCACATTTGTCAGAAATTGAGCTCTAGTCTGTACTGTGTTGACCAAATGGCTGTGTCTGGATAATATCATTCCATCTTCTTTGGAGAGTCTCATGAATGAACGTTTCTCCACAGCACATCTGGCAGTCAACCAAATTTGCTGCAGACTAAGTTTGAACTAGAATGACCACAGGAAAAAGAGATCAGGGTCCTTGTACCTTTAATAGTCATATAGAAGAGGAAATTTCAACAGGTGCAGCTTTTAATATAATTTGTTTCTCTGGGTAATTAAAGGTAGAGGAATTCTTCTCCATATCCCCATTTAAAAACCTGGTCTCTGCACTTCTCTGTGTTTTCTGTTTGGATGGCTTTTTTTTTTTAAAGTACAGGATCAACATGAAGTAGTACAGCCCTGATACATAGGCTTCTTGCCTTAGTGGTAGCTAAGTAGACATGGTCTAGAGGGATGGGGTATACATTTAATAAATAAATAAATAAATAAAATAAAATAAATAGCTAGGCCTTGGTCACCTCTGTTCTGCTTTGGTGGGATTAGCAAAGTATCCGTTGTATCTATTGCTTCTACTTTCCTTTTGGTGTTTTGTATGTTATTCTTTCAAAGATGCTTTAGAATCTACATTTTAGTCTATTTTAGCTGTATTGTTGAACTGAAGAAGCAGAAAGGAAGGAGGCTGAGGCTTGGCTGGCTATCTGGATGTGCTAATTGGGCAATCTGTTCAGGAAGAGTACTTTTAGATTTCAGGGTAGATGTTAAAACATCCAGCATGCTGTTGGCGGTCATATTTACCACTAAATTATATTCTTTCCCCCTTTGAATCTTCAGGAACATGAGGTCACCTAAGAAAATTTTGAACAGGAAGAGCTAGTGGACTAGACATTCATCTGGAGAAATCTTTCCCCTCCCCAGATTTATTGTGTCATCATTCCAGTCCCTGTTTTTGTTGGAAACTTGCAAGCTAGAAGACATGTCCATTGCACTGAAGCAAGTTTTTAATAAGGACAAGACATTCCGTCCCAAACGGAAATTTGAACCTGGAACACAGAGGTTTGAACTTCACAAACGAGCTCAGGCCTCACTGAACTCTGGAGTGGACCTGAAGGCTGCTGTCCAGTTACCCAGTGGAGAAGATCTCAATGACTGGGTAGCAGTTCATGTGGTTGACTTTTTCAACAGGATCAACTTGATCTATGGAACGATCTGTGAATTCTGCACAGAAAGGACCTGCCCTGTGATGTCAGGTGGGCCAAAGTATGAATATCGGTGGCAGGATGATCTGAAGTACAAGAAACCTACAGCATTGCCAGCACCTCAGTATATGAATCTTTTAATGGATTGGATTGAAGTGCAAATCAACAATGAAGACATATTTCCTACTAGTGTAGGTAAGTTTACAGTTGCATCTAAGAGTTGTACACCTTTCCAAAGTTCCTGTTAGAAGGTATTGAACGTAGTAGTTGCAGTCCTGAAGTTTTCAAATTTTGAAATTCTTTTTAATTTTGCAACCAACATATTGCTCTACAGTTCTTTGAAAATAACATTACCATTTAATTTGCTGAGAAGTTAGACCCCAACCACATAAAAAAAATCAGATATATGGTGATCCTATTTTGGGGGCTGTGTTTATTGCTGGCAGCTTTTGTTTCATGTTATCTCCCCTATAGAAACAAATGGTGATAGTCATGACACTGATTTGCTTTTTTTGTTTGTTTTTAAAACTAGGTTTTTTTATTACTCTCAGATTCTACAGTTCCATCTCTCCATCCTGCCAATAACATTTGCAATTTTGGTGCCCTTTATCCCAGTGGGCAAAGTAGAGCACCAGTTACAGAACAGAAATTATGTTTTTCTGCCCCACCCACGTTGAATAGGACTCTCTCTTGGTGGAATACAGCTCAATCCCATCCTGGAGGGGAACTATGAGCAGCATGGCAAAGCCCTCTGTGGGGCAGATTTATGAGTATTGCCTTTGTAGTAAGCAGAATTGGATGTGAGATAGGCTTTAATGGCAATCTCCTCTGCTTTATAAGTAGATACATTTTCCCCCTTAGGGATCAAACTAGAATTGGATTGGAGACCTTGATGGGCTTTGTAGAGCTGATTTTTACCTTTTTTTTTCTTTTTTTGGTAAAAAAGAGGAAAAAAACAGGTAAAAATCAGCTCTATAAAAATCTTTTGGGCTGGGCCTGCATTGCAGGTCTGTTGCTCGTAGATGTCCTGATTTACATAAGATTACATAAGCATTCTAGTTGTCCTGAGGATGCTTATGTAATCAACACCCTCAAAGTTCTTTATTTTCCTCAACCATGGTATAGTCACTTTGAAGTTATCATACTATCATTATCTGTGCCTATCCCTCTTCACTGGGTGGTACCCACTGCCACACTGTATTACATGTATATAAACTTGTGGCTTAAAATTTCATTCCTTGTATCTGAGGAAGTGGTTTATAATCCATAAAAGCTCACACTGAAATAAATGTTATTCCTGAAGGTGACCTTGTTCTTGTTTTTGTTGTATAGGCACCTTCAAAGGCTGGGTTTCATTTTAGCTTGTTCATAACCCTAATGATGTGCTGTACAGGGAGTGGCTGGCTAATGAGGTTATGTTATAGTGTTTGCTTGGGTGGAATTTAGGTATAAAAATGGTGTACCGTTTCTTTGCTTTGCTGTATCAGGAGGCCTGTGATTTGAAGGAGGATGGAGAGGGAGTGTTCTGTGGTTTGACTGTCCTTATTTTTAGAGGGTGAGAATTGCCATGTCATAACTTTTTTGCTTTAAATTGAAATCCACCCATCCCCATTTGGAGTTTTATCTGCATCACTTCGGTGTTGAATCCCTGCAGTATTTTTGTGAGAGCAATTCCCTGATGCATCTTCCCAAATGAATTGCTTTCAAAGTGTACCTTTCTGTACCAGGACAAAACTCGAGCTTAAGAACAAAGGGACCAATACCTGAATCCTTGTCTGCTTCCTCTTCTTTGGCCTCTATTCCTTCTGTATAGGCACAGTTAATAATTAGGGAGAGGGCACAATATACCTGCCATGGACAAGAATATGGATGTTTGTGAATATGGTAAGCTGTCCTCCTGAGTATTCTAGAGTGGGGTCTTGACTTAAGAATGGCTTGAGTTAAGAACATTTTAACTTAAGAACCACTCTCATAGGAAAATATTGACTTGACTTACATACTTAGATTTGAGTTAAGAACTGAAAAAAAACCACGTGGGAGGCAGGGAAAGTGCAAAATTGGAACTTTCAGTTAACTTTTGGCCAGTGAAAAGGGTGCCTGTCTGCTTCCTCACTCCTCCCAGTGTTTAGAGAGTGGATTGGGAGACAGTCTTCGGACTGCCTGGTACTGTACTGCCTGGACTGTATTTTCCCTGCCTTCCCTGAACCTTTCTTGACCTAAGAAAAAAAGAAACAAAATATCCCCCCCTCTAGTGGTCGAAGGCGGAATAGCAGCTTCCCATTAGTTTCTATGGACGGAAAAGAGCAGATACGGATCAAATGGTTTTCAATGCATTCCTATGGGAAATGCAGATTTGACCTGAGAACTTTTTGACTTGAGAACCGCCTTCCAATACGGATTAAGTTCTCAAGTCAAGACCCCACTGTAGTTCCACTATCGATGTGTATATGTTGAGAAGGACAAGTATAATAAGGATGGTGTGGATGGTGTACTCCCACTACAGCTGGTAAGTGGCAGGTGGTTGGCAGTGAGGATGGTAGTGATGGCAGATGTGATACCAAGGAGGTGTTGGCCAGTCCCCCCCCCCAACCAGAGACAGGTACAGTACCCTTTTGTTTCTACAATGGGGAATGATATGGCACGCAAGGCAATTCAAGGCAATTCAAGCCGCCTAGAGTGGTCCTCACCGACCAGACAGGCGGGGTATAAATTAAATGAATGAATGAATGAATGAATGAATGAATGAATGAATGAATGAATAATAATAATAATAATAATAATAATAATATAATAAATAGCTTGCCTCTTTCCCTAAGGCTGCATATCACAAATGAGACTTGGAACAGTGACTGAAGTTCCTCTAAATGTATTGTTGTATATCTAGCTATAAATGTGCAATTGGTTTATACAGCTGTATTCCTTTTGACTATATTGTGCCTTGGTTTGATTTCTTAAGAGGTGCATCTTTGTTGTTTTTGTATATTGGATTTATGTGGCAGTTTCCATTAGCAAATTAATTTACTGAAGAAATGCTTGAGTGGAATTTTTCAATGCCTTTTTACATAATTGATATGTTTTCTGGGTTAATCTTACTAAACCCATTATCTTTGGTTTTATATGCATCCATGCAGAGTATTGGGAGGATTTCAAGAAATGCTCTTAAGTAAAACTGTTGCTTAGGAGTTAGTTGTAAATGGGATGAAATGTAGTGTCTGGAGTACCACAGAGTTTTTGATACAAATAACACTATCTTCCTATTCTTTAGTATCTCTTCAGTCCCCAACAATGTTATGATGGATTCACATTGTGAGTAGGAGTAGAGGAGTAGAGCCTTAGACTAAAAAAGTTGGCTTTTATTTTACAGTGGGCGTTTTCTCTAAAACTGTGGCTACATGCTAGATAGAAAATTCTGTCATGACGATAATTACTTGTCCTTTATCAATCCCCCCCTTCCCTGTATGGTGACAATATGTATGAAAGAGAGGGGAAAGGAAAGGGTTAATTGTTCAGTTACATTTCATTATGTGAAGGTACAAAGGTGAAAACACACAACCAATTTAGTGTCCTCTGACCTGTTCAGTCTCCTGAATAGTGCTGTTTCTTATTTACAAACATTTGTACCCCCTAACAAATGTTTTGTCTCAAAAGGAGAAAGGGACTTTCTGCTCTTTTGTTAACCCAGACCAGGTCTTGAAATGGCTACCTGAAATGAAGGATAAAGTTATGTCCCTCTTCCATCCTCCCTGCAGACGTTGCCCTGGGTGGCAGTTTAATATTACCTCAGTTTTGGTAATGGGACACTATAATTCACCAGAGTGGAACAAAGTAAGATAGCTTTGGGGGATGTGAGGTAGGCTACATAGTTCTAACTGACACTGTTCTTCACAAACATCCTCATATACAATTTTTATTTATGTATGTATGTATGTATGTATGTATGTATGTATGTATGTATGTATGTATGTATGTATGTATGTATGTATGTATGTATGTATGTATGTATGTATGTCTAAATATACTTACCTACTTACTTACCACCCATCTGGCAGCCAAAGCCACCCTGGGTAGTTTACAACAAATAACAAAAAACAAGAGAGTAACAAAATAGCAAATAGCAACATTAAAACATAGAGGTGAAAATGAAAAATCAAAGTGAAGTGAGGATAAAATTATAATACAATAAATACAATTAAAAGCATAGAAGAAAATAAAAACATGGAGCATGGCAGTATGATAGAAGTTACATTATTGGACACTATTGTATCAGAGTGTAGTTTATTCAGGGGAGGCCTGTCTAAATAGCCAGGTTTTTAGTAGCTTTTTGAATGTGCCCAGTGAAGGGGCCAGGAGGAGTTCAGGTGGAAGAGAGTTCCATAGTTGTGGAGCTACCACTGAGAAGGCCCAATTTCTAGTGGCTGTTTTCTGGGCCTCTCTCGGGGCAACCATTATCGGTCTAGCCCAATGGGGGAATTGGAAGACCAGTAAGTATTTATTTGTTAATATGGCCCATAGAGAGGGAAAAACACAAGCATTTAACCTTTGCAGTACAGAAGCAGTTGTATTTTTCTAAACAAAAACTTCAGAATTCAGGTTTTAATTGCAGTATTGTCACTTTGAGATAAATAAGGTTCACCATCACTGCACTAGGCACTCAGAGGCAGCCACTGCACTCAAGCCAGCAGATTTTGCAGTACCAGTGCATTTTTGCCATCTATCCATGGCATAGATCCATGTGAATTTTAATCTATGCTCATCTCCAAATCATTGCCCATCTCCATTTCCTCGGTTGTGGCACTGGCGTGAGAGTTTGGACTGGAAGCTTCTTCGAAGTGGCATATTTTCTCCCCACTTGTACTCTGGAAGGAGCTGTCCATGGAGTGCTCATGGTGTTGATGATGAAGATGAGGCTTGCCAGGTCTCAAAGAATGAGCTGCTGTGCCAGGAAATGGCTGGGCTCCCCT